GAATAGTACAGTCAGCCTTCGAAAATCTTCGCCATCTTTGCTCAGGAGGCCGATCTCACATTTGACGCGCCTTTGCGCGGCTGCAGGGCTCTGACTGGAGGGCTGCTCCACTGCCGCCACCCTTCACTGTACAGACAGATGTCGCCAGCAGCCCGTTAACGTCAGCGTTATCACGGGTGACTTACTTGTGTTGTGAAGCGCAGCAATCAATGCAGATTCATTGCTGCGCCGGCATGGGCTTCCTAGCTGTCCTCGGGCGGAAGTAAAATGAAACCGGAATCACGACATGTCAAGCATGAGCGGAAGCAAAGTGAAATCATGGAATCACGACTTGCCGAGTGTGGCCGCCGCGCCAGATTTTAGTGCGCCGATTGAGCCTGGTGCAGGTTGCCGACTTGATGAGGATCTCGCCGCCAGGCTGCGTGACCCCAATGGATCTCCTGTCGCATCACCGGCGCGTTTGTTATCGTGTCCATTGGTTGAGTGGGTGTAGGTCGTCGGGGATCATATGGCAGGCCCCCTATGTGTGCTAGCGGCCTGTTACCCGTACAAGGTCTGCAGCATGTTTAGCCTGAAATGAGCGCTTCGCATAGGCGAAACGTGAGAACAATGCATGTTGTCACGAACATAGGGTTCTTGTTGCTCAAGCGATGATACAGCCTTTCTACCAGTGCATCCACTGGCCAAGCCTCCGTGCCCGCACAGTGATATGATCCATGCGAGGGAAAACGTTGCCAACTGAAGCATCAGCTTACAATTCACCATTTTCCCAAGAAACAGGTGTGTTGCAAGGGCACTTTTCAAGTTTCGTTTCAGCAACATTGCTGAAACACAAGCGTTTGCAACACAAAAACGTACGATTCCGAAGGCTGCGGCCTCTATGTGCAGGTACGTGCGGTTACGTACTGCTTGCGCATTCAAAGGCTTTTGTGGGAGATTCTGAATATGTGAGATCGGACGCCAGGCCGAGCTCGAAAATGAAAGCTCCCGGAACGCCTACGACGCCGACCTCACCCGCGTCGCCAGTCTCGCCCACGTCACCAGGCAAAAAGATCCGCAGGAGCCCCGGTTTGAAGGTTTCCCTTGGCAAGTCTTACGAGCGTAGATTTCGTTTGCCAAAGCTGAGGCCGCAACGCAGTAGTGCTGGGCATTCCCTTGGACCTTCGGGGCGCGCAGGTCTCGCTTCCTGTCCCTGCCAGGCTCTTTATTACTTTGATTGTGTTACGTGCCTTGTACGCTTGACGGCCACGGCGCCATTGCACGCATACTGCGCATCAGCTCATGTAAGTCTATAAGGTGCGCCACCCCACTGGAGTGATCCTAGCGCCCTCGCCAGGCCTCAACCTTTGGCCCAAATCCCTGGGCTCAGCGTTGGTCAGCTTGCAAATCTGCGCAGGGGCGCGTGTCTGCCGGAACTCTGTGCAAGGCACGCTGACGGCTAACGGCGCCTGTCGCACGTCACGCATCACACACCTTTATTGTCCGAAAGGTGCCCTGCGGGCATTGGCCTCGCTCTCACCTACGGCTCAAGCGACGGCACCTGTGCGGTCAGGAGGACTTTGGGGCCGTTGCGCAGTTAACCCATGATGCGAAACAGTGTGAATGTAACATGTGTGAGTCTGAACTATGCCAAGTAGGACCGGCACCTTTGCACAAAGTGGGGCGGGGCGGCGCTTGAGATGCATGAGTCGTGAGCTGGAACGTGTGGGTCCGGCCACGTCTAGCTCACAAATCGACAGGGGGAGGGACGCGAAACAACGCAGAAAAGAGAAAGGACAGAAGGAGAGGAGTCGAGGCAGCAGAAAATACAAAAGAACGAGCAAGAGAGTGCTTAGCTTGTACAGGCCACGAGGGTGGCGATCTTCCTCTAATTGAGCAGGCGGCACCCTTTGTGGCTGGCACTTACCGACTTACCGCAGTTTTTCCAAATTTAATTAAGGCTTTTGGCACATCTCGGCACCGTTGTCTTGCAACTTACGGGTCCCAATGGCCCACTCGTGTGCAGACACGGGCTGGGAATTCGTGAAGACATGCCGGTTTCACCCCTGCAAAGCAGATGTTGTAGAGGTGTGTAGAGGTTCGAGGGTGGACAAAAGTTTGTGAACAAAGCCGACAGAGAGTGGAGAGGATGTCAAAGCCAGTCTGCCCATGGCATCATGCCTTTTCTTGCATATATGAGCTCTTCAGACGAAGCTAGAGCCAGAGCTGCCCTGCCTTGGGGGTAGCCGGGGCCTTGGGGCCTTTCATGATTTTCAAAATATCGAAGGACTCCACACGGAGGCCATTTGCTGATGCTGCAAGTATCTTGCAGCTGTGATCGTCAGGCGATGATGTATGATGATAAAACCAAGGCCGCCAAACCACCACCGCCTTTGCAGGGGGGGGTGGGGGATGGTGGGGGTTGGGCTTGTGCCAGGCAGCCGTTCAGAAGATTCCGCTCCTTAGCGTCAAAGCTGGGCCCCGCGATGGGGACTGGGTCAGGGGTCCAAGAGTGGCAGAGACATCTCAAGGAATTCGGATACCATGAACATGGCTGCAAGTATCCCTGTACGCATTTGATTCATGTGATCTTGGCAAGGTTGAGCGGTTGAAAGAAGAGCTGGCAGCGCTGATTCAATATGTGCAGAACAACAAGGCCTGACCAGTGGCACCAGAGCTGTGCCCAAAGGCCGCTTGAGAATGGACAGGAGAATGACCATGACTGGTTCCGTATCGAGTCCAATGAGGTGCCCAAAGTAAGCATGCGTTCATGGCTTGCGCATGTGATTGTATGGTGTAGGCTTCATGCTCCCCTACGAGTAGCGCGCCACGACACCATCGTAGAAAAGCAAAAGGCCTACACCTTCAGCCAAGCCGCACCCAAGAAATATGATTAACAAGAACTCTACCTCAGCAAATGCGAGAAACCATGCCAGTTTGCATTGAATGAAGACTATCAAATTGCATTATTGTATTGGATGCGCGCGCTCAACACTTTCGCATGATGAGAAGTAATGTTGGATTTTTTCTGAGTGTCTTCTTTTTAGAGCTCTTGTGTTTTCTTGTTGTATGTGGTGTGTGGTCGACGCCTTTGGACCAGACTAACCCTTCAAGAGTTTTCGGCTTCAAGGCTTCAAGGCCCATACCATGCACCTTTGTGGCCGAGCCAAACCGCAAGCGAAACCCTGAGCCAAAGCCAAGCTGAAAGAATAGCAGCCATCTCCACAGCCTACACCCGAGCCGAGCCAAGCCGCACCTAAGAGAGAAACCCCCGCCCTCTCCACCTCAAGATTCCAGTGAACTATTGAACCGGCTATTGATTTCTGTTGAAGGACGGAACGAGATGGACTGGGACCTGCTGGCCGCACCTCACAATTGGAAGGCGGTTCGAAGCTCAGGCAAAACTACTCGCCGAGGTATGTGCACAACTTGTTGAGATACGAGTTCAAGCTCCAGTTTGAGGCAGCCTCAGCTTGGCCGCATTCATAAAAAACTGCGTGGCTGCTGCATCCGTGCGAGATCCCCGCGGGCTATCCAGCTGTGCCAATTGAATTGGCTTGAGCCCCAAGACATCCACCTTCTATGACGCGAAATGACATTTGCCATGCTGTTACGCTGTTCCACGCGCATTTCCGCATGGAAGGAGTTGCCAGAGCTGGACGGGAAGACCCCGAAAATGCCCTGCACCCAAATTTTCGGGCAACTCTTGCTGTGTCTAGGAGCGCTTGGGACAGCAGCAAGCGCACTAAACCTCTGGCAAACAGACACTCCATTAGATCATTAGGTGCGCTCAAGCACGGAGGCTTTCCCACAGACCCGCCTGAGCAGAAAACGAAGAAGAAGAACAAGAAGAACAAGAACAAGAAGAAGAAGAAGAAGCAGAAGCAGAAGCAGAAGCAGAAGAAGAAGAAGAATCATAAGAAGAAACGAGCAGGATGTATCGAGGGAAAGTCGCATTTTCGCCAAGGTACCGTGGCGGGAAGATTTGTTTAGATATCCACTTCGCACCGCTTTGGAGGCAGAGTTCCCAAACCTCAACGCCGTCGTCCTGCTTCAACTCCGGCGTTACACTTTAGTTGCCAGGACGAACGTCCCGAAGTTTGGCATTGCTCATGCCCTGTCTCTTGCGTGGGAGCCCAGCGAATTTGAAAGCCCTGAGATGATTTACTTCGCTCATCCCGCCATCCTGCACGATCAGACAGGCAAAGTACGGATACTTCGCCACAGGCTTCTATCGCGGGGACTCTCCGCCGATTCTTTGAGGGTGGTGGGGTGGGAACTGTCCCAGGCTACTTATGCGGCAGGTCTGTCCGCGCACTCCACGCTACTCAGCGGGACTGTGCGGGCTTGGGCAGGCCAGGGCCACCCGGCGAGTGTGTCTGCGGGATTCATTCGGCAACACTTGGGCAATCCAGGGATGCTCGGTGAGACCATCTGCCACACTCGGCGGGAATCTCTGTAGGCTTCTCTGGGAGGCAGGCACTGACTGCTTGGGGGTGGCACTCCAGGTTGCTCGGCAGGAGAGGCCGACACCAAGAATGGAAAAGCAAAAATTGAATTGCATCGATTGAAAGGCTATGATGAGACTGAGGCTCTGGGGCCTTGGCTGGCCGCCGAGATCCCCTACTTGATCGAGGCTGGCGTCGTCACCCACAAAGGGTTCAGTGCCCAGTGCTGCAGAGAGTGGGGTATTTGAGGGGTCTGCCATCCGACGGAGCTGCAAAGGCTGGCCGAGCCTTGCCAAGTCTGAGAAGCGGCTCGGCTAACTGTGCTAGGGATGTTCTGAAGAAGATGCCTGCTGAGTCGAGAGGAGATTCTCGCCGAATGGGCCAGGCGCTCAAACTTGGCATGGTGCGCGTGGCGCAAAAAGCTGGGAAAGCGACTCTCCATGCGTGCCTTTTCACGAAAGCTTGCTACCAGCTACTTGGATCTTGCGAACGTTCTCGTTTACTATGTCTCTTCTTGGGTCAAGAATCAGTCTGGTATGATGTGGATTCGCTTGTAACTTTATGTGTGGGCTCGTACTGAGGGGGGGGGAGAGTTTTCATTGACGGGTGGACGTTGCGACGTAGTTCTTACTTGCTCCGTAAGTTTCTCCGCTTCTCTCTGGCAAAAGCGGCCCTCAGCTTATACACAGTAGCTTCAGACGTCTTGCTTTGAAACCTGACTAGTTTCAGCGGTGCTCCGCTGCTCACTTGGCTAGCACTGCAAGTCGCGTGCCAAGCTCTCTCACACCTAGCAACACCTGCAATTCTCACAAGCAGTGGCCGCACATTGCCGAGCATGGATTCTGGTTGCAGTTTACGGTGACTGGGATGGGAGAGGCGGCCTGGCACGTTCTGCAGCATTTGTTGTGCAGTTTGGCCACTGCAAGCAAATTTATGTCGCTTTTTTTGCTGGTGCTTTTGTCAGGGCTTTCTGAAGTGTGTCATAGGCAGCTCTTCCTCTTCAAGCTGCCCATGACTGGGATGCATGGGCTTCTGGACACTCGGCGCATTTCTTTTTTGCTAAAGCGCGGTACCCGTTGAGGGACTCAACGTCAGTCATTATGTTCGACGGTGTACCCATCATCCCCACCACTGCAAATATCCACAAGCCCTCCGTACGAGTATTCGCGTGCCTGAAGGCTATGGGGCTTGGCCTCACCAGCTTGAAGCCTTTAAAAGGGCTTTGACCCAGAACGTGATCTTGAACATGCCGACCGGCACCGGGAAAACCCTCGTCGCGTGGCCTGGAGACGATTAGAACGCCCGAAAGCTTCTTCGGAGAAAGCCGAAGATGTGCTTATTTTTCTGCAAGTTGGAGTCATCGGAATGATTTTTCAATACCTCTAGGTGCATGTTGCTGGATGCTCTTGGCGCCCCCAGCCTCTTCGTGGTGAACTCCCGGGCGTTGGTGGCGCAGCAGACCGCCTACCTCCGACAGCACAGCCAAAGCCAAGGCGAAAGCGTGGGCACCAGCCCCGGGGCTGGGGTGCCTTGGAAGCTCTCAGATCTCTCTCTCTCTCTCTCTCTCCCCCCCCCACATGTTCCCCATCTTTTTCCTGTATGTGTCTTTTGGCTGCGTTTTTTGAATAAGGGAAAACACCCCGAGAATAAGCCAAAAAAACCATGCCCTATGTTGGGCTGCGTATTTATTTTTATCCTGGCTTTTTTTCCACTTATTCTCTCTTGGCCGGCCAGGGGTTTAGCAGGGCTCTTTGGAGTTTATTCTGCGGGTTTCTTCAGGGCATCCAGAGGGTTCCATTCCTTATTCCACCAGTTGGCTTTCTTATTCCCCAGGTTTGGCAGTTTATTCTCACGGTGCCCCCTGTTATTCTGAGAGTTTTTTTTGTTATTCCCACCCCGCCCCAAACCCCGTCCCGCCCCCCCCACCCCCCCCCCCGTGTGCAGCTTAAATAGGGTTTATTTGGAAGCTGGCACTCGTGTTCACAAGAGGAAAAAAGGCCCCAAAACGTATACTTATTTACAAGAGCCAACTTCCAAATAGACCCTATTTTAGGTCCTAGGGGGGGTCCCAGGCCTGAATTAAATATGAAGGCCCCGATTTAAATATGAATATTTAATTCTGGAGCTTCATATTTAAATTATTTAATTCGGGCCCGGGAATTAAATAATTTAAATAATTTAAATAATTTAAATAATTTAAATCCTGGAGGGGGGGGGGGGGCCTCCTCCCGCAGGAGGAATTAAATAATTTAAATATGAAGGCCCCGAATTAAATATTAATATTTAATTCGGAGGCCTTCATATTTAAATTATTTAATTCTTCCTGCGGGAGGAGGCCCGCCCCCCCCCCTCCAGGATTTAAATTATTTAAATTATTTAAATTATTTAATTCCCGGGCCCGATTTAAATAATTTAAATATGAAGGCCACGATTTAAATATGAATATTTAATTCGGGAGCTTCATATTTAAATTATTTAATTCGGGCCCGGGAAATTTAAATAATTTAAATCCTGGAGTGGGGGGGGCGGGCCTCCTCCCGCAGGAAGAATTAAATAATTTAAATATGAAGGCCCCGAATTAAATATTAATATTTAATTCGGGGCCTTCATATTTAAATTATTTAATTCCTCCTGCGGGAGGAGGCCCGGCCCCCCCCCCCTCCAGGATTTAAATGATTTAAATTATTTAAATTATTTAAATTATTTAATTCCCGGGCCCGATTTAAATAATTTAAATATGAAGGCCACGATTTAAATATGAATATTTAATTCGGGAGCTTCATATTTAAATTATTTAAATCGGGCCCGGGAATTAAATAATTTAAATAATTTAAATAATTTAAATAATTTAAATTATCTGGAGGGGGGGGGGCGGCCTCCTCCCGCAGGAGGAATTAAATAATTTAAATATGAAGGCCCCGAATTAAATATTATATTAATTCGGGCCTTCATATTTAAATTATTTAATTCCTCCTGCGGGAGGAGGCCCGGCCCCCCCCCCTCCAGGATTTAAATTATTTAAATTATTAAATTATTTAAATTATTTAATTCCCGGGCCCGATTTAAATAATTTAAATATGAAGGCCACGATTTAAATATGAATATTTAATTCGGGAGCTTCATATTTAAATTATTTAATTCGGGCCCGGGAATTAAATAATTTAAATAATTTAAATCCTGGAGGGGGGGGGCGGGCCTCCTCCCGCAGGAAGAATTAAATAATTTAAATATGAAGGCCCCGAATTAAATATGAATATTTAATTCGGGGCCTTCATATTTAAATTATTTAATTCCTCCTGCGGGAGGAGGCCCGGCCCCCCCCCCTCCAGGATTTAAAATATTTAAATTATTTAAATTTTTTAAATTATTTAAATTATTTAAATTATTTAATTATTTAATTCCCGGGCCCGATTTAAATAATTTAAATATGAAGCTCCCGAATTAAATATTCATATTTAAATCGTGGCCTTCATATTTAAATTATTTAAATCGGGCCCGGGAATTAAATAATTTAAATAATTTAAATAATTTAAATCCGGGAGGGGGGGGGGGCCGGGCCTCCTTTTGCAGGAGGAATTAAATAATAAATATGAAGGCCCCTTTAAATATCCCCGAATTAAATATTCATATTTAAATCGAGGCCTTCATATTTAAATTATTTAATTCCTCCTGGGGGAGGAGGCCCCCCCCCCCTCCAGGATTTAAATTATTTAAATTATTTAATTCCCGGGCCCGATTTAAATAATTTAAATATGAAGGCCACGGTTTAAATATGAATATTTAATTCGGGAGCTTCATATTTAAATCATTTAATTCGGGCCCGGGAATTAAATAATTTATAATTTAAATAATTTAAATAATTTAAATCCGGGAGGGGGGGGGGGCCGGGCCTCCTTTTGCAGGAGGAATTAAATAATTTAAATATGAAGGCCCCGAATTAAATATTCATATTTAAATCGAGGCCTTCATATTTAAATTATTTAATTCCTCCTGGGGGAGGAGGCCCGCCCCCCCCCCCTCCAGGATTTAAATTATTTAAATTATTTAAATTATTTAAATTATTTAAATTATTTAATTCCCGGGCCCGATTTAAATAATTTAAATATGAAGGCCACGATTTAAATATGAATATTTAATTCGGGAGCTTCATATTTAAATTATGTAAATCGGGCCCGGGAATTAAATAATTTAAATAATTTAAATAATTTAAATCCTGGAGGGGGGGGGGCCGGGCTTCCTCCCGCAGGAGGAATTAAATAATTTAAATATGAAGGCCCCGAATTAAATATTCATATTTAAATCGGGGCCTTCATATTTAAATTATTTAATTCCTCCTGCGGGAGGGCCCCCTCAATCAGCTTCATCATCATCATCCTCATCCTCATCCGCATCATCATCATCATCTTCATTATCGTCATCATCTTCATCATCTATCATCATCATCTTCATCATCTTCATCATCTTTTTTCATCATCCCCATCATCTCTCTCATCTCCACGGTTGTTCCAATATGTTTCATGTGCATCCTTGACATCAATGATCCCAATCAGCTTCATCATCATCTTCATCATCTTCATCATCTTCATCATTTTCATCATCTTCATCATCTTCATCATCTTCATCATCTTCATCATCTTCATCATCTCCATCATCTTCATCATCTTCATGATCTGCTTCATCTGCTTCATCCTTCATCTGTTTCTTATGTTTCATTGCTTCTTGGGGCCCAGGAGGGCCTGGGGCAGGAGCAACTTTGCCGGTCAAAACTTGCCGGGATCCCCTTGGCACCCTGGAAAAGTGATGCAAATACCACACAAAACGGGAAAGGGTAGGAACAACTTTGTCGGTCAAAATTTGCCGGGATCCCCTTGGCACCCTGGAAAAGTCCTGCAAATACCACACAAAACGGGAAAGGGTAGGAACAACTTTGCCGGTCAAAATTTGCCGGGATCCCCTTGGCACCCTGGAAAAGTCCTGCAAATACCACACAAAACGGGAAAGGGTAGGAACAACATTTGCCGGTCAAAATTTGCCGGGATTCCCTTGGCACCCCGGAAAAGTGATGCAAATACCACACAAAACGGGAACGGGTAGGAACAACTTTGCGGGTCAAAATTTGCCGGGATTCCCTTGGCACCCTAGAAAAGTCCTGCAAATACCACACAAAACGGGAAAGGGTAGGAACAACTTTGCCGGTCAAAATTTGCCGGGATTCCCTTGGCACCCTAGAAAAGTGATGCAAATACCACACAAAACGGGAAAGGGTAGGAACAACTTTGCCGGTCAAAATTTGCCGGGATCCCCTTGGCACTCGGGAAAAGTGATGCAAATGCCACACAAAACGGGAACGGGTAGGAACAACTTTGCGGGTCAAAATTTGCCGGGACCCCCTTGGCACCCGGGAAAAGTGATGCAAATACCACACAAAACGGGAAAGGGTAGGAACAACTTTGCCGGTCAAAATTTGCCGGGATCCCCTTGGCACCCTGGAAAAGTGATGCAAATACCACACAAAACGGGAACGGGTAGGAACAACTTTGCCGGTCAAAATTTGCCGGGATTCCCTTGGCACCCTGGAAAAGTCCTGCAAATACCACACAAAACGGGAAAGGGTAGGAACAACTTTGCCGGTCAAAATTTGCCGGGATTCCCTTGGCACCCTGGAAAAGTCCTGCAAATACCACACAAAACGGGAAAGGGTAGGAACAACTTTGCGGGTCAAAATTTGCCGGGATTCCCTTGGCACCCTGGAAAAGTCCTGCAAATACCACACAAAACGGGAAAGGGTAGGAACAACTTTGCCGGTCAAAATTTGCCGGGATCCCCTTGGCACCCGGGAAAAGTGATGCAAATACCACACAAAACGGGAACGGGTAGGAACAACTTTGCCGGTCAAAATTTGCCGGGATTCCCTTGGCACCCTGGAAAAGTCCTGCAAATACCACACAAAACGGGAAAGGGTAGGAACAACTTTGCCGGTCAAAATTTGCCGGGATTCCCTTGGCACCCTGGAAAAGTCCTGCAAATACCACACAAAACGGGAAAGGGTAGGAACAACTTTGCGGGTCAAAATTTGCCGGGATTCCCTTGGCACCCTGGAAAAGTCCTGCAAATACCACACAAAACGGGAAAGGGTAGGAACAACTTTGCCGGTCAAAATTTGCCGGGATCCCCTTGGCACTCGGGAAAAGTGATGCAAATACCACACAAAACGGGAACGGGTAGGAACAACTTTGCGGGTCAAAATTTGCCGCCTTCGTATGCCATGAGAAATGCGCGGCTCGATTTGGCCAAATTTTGCCCGGAGGCTGCCCGGCAAAATTTGGCCAAATCGGGCCCCTGGACATTGAAATGAAATCAATTTTTCAATTCCCCGATACTAAATCACGAGCCCGGGCCTCCCCCTCAACACTAAATTACGAGCCCGGGCCTCCCCCCAATACTGAATTACGAGCGCGGGCCTCCCCCCAATACTAAAGTACGAGCCGGGGAATTAAATAATTTAAATAATTTTAATGCCCGGAC